CCACGCCCCTGGGAGCCGGCGGCCACGCCCACCCCTGCTGTCCCAAGGCCCTGATCCCCCTGATCCGGCCAACTCCTGCTGCTCGTACTTCGGCCAAACCCAGAAGTCACCTCCTCCAGGAAGCCCCTGGCCCCGGCCAGATGCACTGCATGTCGCCCCCGCCTTTAGAGCCCCCTGACTACCGATGTACCTGCGCAAATGGACCCAAAAGGTCCGCCTGCAAACGCTGGCTGTCTGGCTCTGTCTGGCTCTGCTGTTTAGCAATTGTTCGATCTGAACAAGTTACTGAGCTTCTCTGTGCCTCCCCCGGCTCCTCTCTAAAACAGCGGCATTCCTACTTACGGCCGTGTCAGGGCCAAATGGAGTCAGCCCTGGCGGGCGCTCGGCCTCCCACTGCCGCGTTACCCCAAAGGTCAGCCACCCCGACTGTTGGCACTTCCAGTATTATGTCTGCGGTGCATTTGCGTGGGGTGTCAATGACTGCGCTCTTGGGGCGCCCCCTCCCGCCTGTCTGGGGACGGTCCATCCTTCCGGTCGCACAGCGGTGTAGACCTCTGCCGGCTCCCACCTCCCCGAACTCCATTTTCACAGTGTCTGTTGCCCCCCGGTGGCGACTCTCGAGAAGTGTCCGGATTCCCAAGCCTCTGACCAGCAGCCCAGGTTTCAGGACCGAGGTCCCTGGGGAGTGGGCAGGGAGGGCAGGGAGGTCCACCCGGCTAGCGCTTGCACTGCCCGCCCAGACCACCCACCGGCCCCCCTGTGTACACATTAATTTCCTCTTCTTCCCTGTAGCAGAGAGACAGTCACCCAGCAAACACCCATGAGGGCCTGTTGTGTGTTTGACGCAGGCTACAGATGTGGGTGAGACAAGATATTGGGGTGAATAGAACCATACAGCCAGGTGTTTTCGCTGAGAGAATGGACAATGGAGGCTGGCCAGGCTGGCGAGGCGGGGAGGGTCTGCACACGTCCACGCGGAGACCAGAGGAGAACCCGGCGCCTCCCTGCCCGCCCGGGGCGCCCAGCGGAGGTCGAATCGAATGCAGCAGTGGAGGGAAGCGGTAGCACAAATGGCCGGCCAGGCTGGCCACGCGAGGAAGAGCTTGGCGTGGCCATTGTGCCGTGCTGGACGTTCCCAGATTCCCAGAATTGAGGTTCTGCGTTAGCCGCCAGGACCTTCACGTCCCTCCTGCTCGCTGCTCGGCCCCCGCTTGCTTCCCGTGGGCCGTGCTTTCTCTTGCTGAGAATCTTCACAGACCCTGCGTGGGTCAGTGGCCACACGGTGGCCATTTTCCCCCAGTGGAGGTAGAATTCAGGTAACAAAAGTTAGCCGTTTTTAATCACAACTCAGTGACGTCAGCACACGCAGGGCTGCGTAACCACGTCTGTGGAGTTCCAGAACATTTTCAGCACCCCCAGAGCAGGCCCACACCTACTCCTCCCTCCCCTGAGCCCCTGGCAGCCACCAGTCTGCTTTCTGGGCCCAAGGGTTTGCCTGGCCTGGACATTTCCTACGATGGAAGTCATCCCCTATGTGGCCTTTATGTCTGACTTCTGTCACCCAAGATCAGGTCTTCACTGAACAACAGGCTGCTTATTTTTCGCTTGTGCTAGAACAAGAAGGCTATGCTGTGTTCCATCTTCCAGAACTTGCTTTATTTCACTCAATAGTATGTTATTTAAATATATGCAGTTTTGCCTGGTGGTTTCCTTTTCACTGCTGTGTAGTATTCTATTCTGTGCCCATGCCACTGTTTATTATACATTTCCATGTCTGTGGGTATTTGGATTCATGCCGTCCTTTTTAAAAACAAACAAAAAAAATTATTTCTGCATACAAGAGTTGGAGTACAGGCCAGAGGTGCAGGGGGTGAGAGGACCCACCAGAGACAGAGTGGGGAGCGGCGCAGGCAGGTGGACTGAAATCCACTGCTGAGGGGAGCAGCGGGGAGACAGGAGAGGTCCGCCGCGCCCTGTGGGCCGCTCCCTGGCCGGGATCGAACCTGTGCTGCGGTGGCTGTGGCCGGCTTCCGAGCGCTGCGCTTTATCGCTTTGGCCACCAGGGCGGGCGGGGGCCGTTCTTGCTGTTAAAGCAGATGAAGGAGCCTCTCGCATGCTGTCGCTGTCTTCCTGGCCTTTGAACACGTGCAGAGGTGGGTCAAAGCATGGAAAGAAGTGGTTTCTTGATGGCAGCTTACTCCCTGAGCTGTCCCCACGTCAGGCCACCCGCGGTATGATCACAGCCTCCGCGGAAAGGCGCCGCCGGCCTAAGCCGCCCCAGCCTGGGAAGAGACGGCCCCTGCCGTTGCCTCCCTGCGCTGCCGGCATCCTCGCTCTTCGGGGCGTGCCGGGCCGGGCCCCTGCCACCCTGTCTCCTCCCCGCAGGTGAGCCCAAGAGCTCCACAGCCCCCCTGAGCATGGCCAACGGCTCAGCCTCTGCCAGCACCTCGGAAGACGCCATCAAGAACATTCTGGAACAGGCACGCCGGGAGATGCAGGCAGAGCAGCAGGCCCTGCTGGAGGTGGAGGCCGGCCCCCGGGGCCGCTCCGTGCCGCCCTCGCCCCCCGAGCGGCCCGCGCCGGCCGCCGGGAGCCGGAACGGGGCCCCGGCCCCCGTCAAGCAGGAGGACAGCACCAGCAGCGGCGCCACGCAGACGTCCCTCGCCGTGCTGTGCCCGGCCGCCTTCGTGCAGAGCATCATCCGGAAGGTCAAGTCCGAGATCGGCGACGCCGGCTACTTCGACCACCACTGGGCCTCGGACCGCGGCCTCCTGAGCCGGCCCTACGCCTCTGTCTCACCCTCGCTGTCCTCCTCCTCGTCCAGCTACTCCGGCCAGCCCAACGGACGGGCCTGGCCCCGGGGGGACGAGGCGCCCCCGGCCCCCGAGGATGAAGGGGCCGGGGGTGATGACGAGCCTGCCCGGGTGGGGGAGCTCAAGGCCGAAGGGGGCGCCCCCGAGGCTGCCGGCGGGCGGCTGGCCTACTACCCGGCCTACGTGCCCCGCACGCTGAAGCCCACGGTGCCCCCCCTGACTCCTGAGCAGTACGAGCTCTACATGTACCGGGAGGTGGACACGCTGGAGCTGACGCGCCAGGTCAAGGAGAAGCTGGCCAAGAACGGGATCTGCCAGAGGATCTTCGGGGAGAAGGTGAAGACAGGGTGGGGGTGCCCCGGGAGGCTTGGGGCTCCGGGCTCCGTGGGACCAGGAGGGAGGACCCCCCACTGTCCGTGGGTTGGAAGGAAGAGTATCGCCGGCACAGGCCAGAGGCAGCGCTGAATCCTGCCCCTTCCCTGTGTCCGCGGGGGGCTGCCTCATCCCTCGCTGGGCAGTGAGGCCGGCGCTTCTGCCTGGCTGGGAGAGGGCCCCACTGCTCCCCGCTCCCGCCCCTCCACCCCTTCCGTGGGTTGAGGCTCACCCCAGCGCGCGAGTCCCATTAAGATCGACCCTGCCTTTCCGGAGGGTCAGGCAAAGGCCAGGCAGCCCGAGGCGGGGAGGGGCTCAGTGGGAGCCCCAGGAAGACTTCCTGGGGGGTCTTAAAGCCCGGAGGGGCCCCAGCAGGCCCCAGGGACCAGCCAAGGAAGCCCGCCGCCCCCGACCCCCACCCCGACCGCCGGCAGCACGAGGCCGGCACGGCCAGGCCTCGGCCTCGTGACCCCTCCTGCTCACTGTCCCCAGGTGCTGGGCCTGTCGCAGGGCAGTGTGAGCGACATGCTGTCCCGGCCCAAGCCGTGGAGTAAGCTGACCCAGAAGGGGCGGGAGCCCTTCATCCGCATGCAGCTGTGGCTCTCAGACCAGCTCGGCCAGGCCGCGGGCCAGCAGCCCAGAGCCCCCCAGGGTGAGTGCATCCCTGGCCTGGGCGCACACCTCCGGCCTCTGCCGCTCTGCCCGTCTCCACTGCCCCGGCCACCTGCTCCCAGGAGGCCCGCCGGCTCCCGCTGGCCTGCCTGTTTCCCCCATCCTTCCTTCAACAAGTGGGGTACAGCTAGTGCTGCTTTTAAACCTCTAGGTGGTGCCGGGGTGCCTAGAACAAGACGAATAAGTACCGGCGGCTCCTGCCTCCGTCCCCCGCTCCCCAGCGGAGGGTCGCTGGTCCCAGCCCAGGCCCAGCGCAGGCCAGAGTCAGAGTCCAGAGTGGAAGGGTGGGGGAAGGGGCGGGAACCCCAAGGGCAGGCAGGGCGGGGCGCTTGCGGGGTGAGCGCATGGCTGCCGGAGAGCCCCGCACGCCGCCCTGCGGCCAGGGAAGGTCCCCGCGGACAGACGGACGGGACGGCGGGGCTGGCTCAGCGGCTACGGCCCGCAGAGTGCGTCTGGCCGACAAAACCGGCCTCAGGAATGTGCCAGAAACATGACGTCCCACAGCAGAAGCACCTTGTCCCGGCCGCTGCAGGCCAGGGTGCCGAGTGTGGGGATGCCGAGGGCTGAGCAGTGGCTGAGCGCCGGGGAGCAGGGGAGACCCCAGCCCCCACTTCTCCTAAGCCCAGAGGCTGGGAAGCAAATCTGTTGCCCTGGGTGGGGCACAGGGGTGGGCGTGGACCTGTCTGCCCCCTCCCCCGCCCTCCCCCCCAGGCAGCCAGCCGGGGCAGGAAGCCGCTGTGGGTTGGGGATGCCGGATGCTGGGAGGGTTCAGGAACGTGCCCTCCCTCCCGCCCTCCGTGCCAGCTGCCCGCCAGTCACTCACTAGCCAGCCTCGGCGATGCCCTCGGCGGTGGCACATCTGCCTGAGGCTCCTCGGCATTCTTGAGCACCCCAAAATGGCCCCAAGGCCCTGTCTCTCCTGCTGTCTGTCCCCTTCCTTTTCGCCGCCGCCCCCCTCCCCGCCCCACCTGGCCTTCCGCTCCCTCCCGGCTCCTGCTCTGGCCTGGGAACTTGCAGTGCTGAAACCAGGAAAACCCTCGGTCACCCTACTGTCTGCTCTCGCCCTCTCCGCAGCCCCTGCCGGCACCCCCACGCAGGGCCCCCCCTGCTGACCCCCGCCTGGGGCATCAGCACCCCCACGCAGGGCCCCC